GCAACCGTGAAAGGCTCTATGCCAACACACTTTGCCATCCAAATGCCCTTGGTGGTCTGACTCCTGTGAGGATCATTCAGCATACAGTAGTTAGACAGGTGAAGAAACATAAATGAAGAATGGTGATAACCTAAAATATTTATTTCTTTAAATTTTTTTAATTAATTAAAAATAAATAAATAAATAAAACACCAAGAAACTGAAGTAACCAACCTTCCTCTGAAGGCATCCATCTCTCTAAAATTTGTATGGAAAAGATGATTCATTAGAGTGCTCTTTCCTGTTAAACACAAGAAAATGGATGAAAATGTCATTGCTTGAGTATCAAAGCAGAAGCACAAATCATATACATCTACAGAAAAAAGACAAAACAATACTAGTTGGTTTCTCCTATACAAGGCAATTGAAATATCATAAAACACATGTAATTGTTGCAACAGGATAAAGATGTAAATAAATTTGAGAACACTTCAAAAATCCAACATATGAATGAACCTCAATTTACATGTGAAATAGAACCTAGTCAATGAAATCTGAATGGCGAGTTCTAACTTCTAAAAAATATAAGCCACTTATGTGATGCTAAAATAATCTGACATGCATTATAGAACTGGTAATCTAGACTATCAACCCACGGACCATCAAATTAGAAATTGCCAAATTGATGCTCACCTAGGCCCCCATTTAGAACCTAGATTCACATAAATATGGTAAAGGTGTCAACTTTATGAAACAAGGAGAACAGTAACTCCTCATTCCCCAAGTTTTATGTTCAATATTCGAAGTAGTTACAACTTTCTAGTTGTTTAACAGCTAATCAGAAGGACCCTTGGTAGCTCCACCTTTCTCATTTGTTCTGCAAACCTACTTTCCTAGAATTCTTATACACTCTGAAATTAAAAAGACAAATCTTCTCAAATGCTGATATCTCCTAATCCAAAAAACTTAAATAAACTAAAAACCAACTCCCGCGATCTACGTCAGGCACTCCGAGATCAATCGAAATCCACTCACCGCTACTTTGCGGCCCCATGATGGCGACCACCGCATAAGAGAGACCACACTGGGAGAACTTGG